TTAGATGTGCAATTTATTCCAATTTACAATTTGCAATATCACAAGGCATGAAAAATTTAATTAATTTGTCTTACGGATGAAGACAAATTTCTCAGCACTAATTTGGCTTTCTCAGGCTCGTGCTTGGCCTGCTGTTGATTATGTCTAATAATTTCTGATTGCTGTCCAGGCAGCAGAAATTCATTAAATATTGATTACAGATATGCCTAGATACAGTTTGTACAGACAGTTGGTTTTTGCCTGCAGCCGGGCAAATTATATAAATACCAAGTGAACCAGCAAAAAGGATGTCGCAGGATAATATCAAACATTCAGTTCATATCGTTGCTCAACGCTTCTGTTAATTGCAATTTAAGCTTTGGCATTTCAACATTTTGCATCGCTGCATTTCCTATCCTTGTGTTCGTTCTTGTTTTCCTTGTCATATTTGTTTTTGTCGTTTTCACAGCTGCAACGGCCATTGCCTTCCAACTATTTTCGGGCTATTTGCGCTTTCTGTTGCCTAAGACCGTGTCCATTACTTGTTGGGTAAATGCCTTAAATTTCTGCCAAATTAAATGAAATGCTGTTATTTCCGTTTATTTGCTTGAGATTTCCACAAATCCATATACGTATGTCTATGTGCCAGTGTTTGTTCTTGTATTATTTTACTTGCATTGGTAAATGGAATTTTGCATTTGGTCAGCTAAGGGCGTCTTAACAAATTCTTCAGCTAGTCCTTGCTGATAGTCGGGTTAAGCCATTTGTTAGAAATTTGTTTTAAATGGCATTTCTGTTGAACTTGCCGCAAATTTTTGAATTGGTGTTAGTTTTACGTAAGCATTAAGTTTCACTTATATGTACGCATTTGAATCTTGACAGCAATTACATTTATACAGTCTGTTGAACCTAGAGCATCAAATTGAAATAATCGAAATTAATTTATTTGGTTAAAACAAATAGCCGTCACATGAATATTAGTAAGAGATCGCCAAGAGCTTACGCTGTTTAACATAACATTAAGTTTTATTTTAAAATAAACATTTACATAACATTTAGCCACAGCTATTTAACATAATGCAAAGCTGTACGTAAGAGCCATTGCTGTTAAAAATTAAATTTGTAATTCAAAGTAAAGAAATTAAAAGGGTTGCCTTTTTCTAGCGACGCAATTATAAATGAAATCTGTGTCTGTCGTTGCTTTCTTTTTTTTTATTATATTTTGTGCTCATTTTCAGCTTTTGCTGGGCATTGTTGTTAATAACTGTTGTTCATATTCATGCAAATTGAAAAATCTCGGTCAAAAAGCATAATATGCTGGCAGCGTAGCAGAATCAGTTGCTTTTCGCCCCTATTACGTGCCCCAAACGGCTGAGGGAGAAGACCCAAAAAGCGTTGACAAAGCGAATACGCACTGAAAACCACACGCGCGCACTCACAGATACACATGCACACACACACACACACACACACACACACACACACACACACACACACACACACACACATACACATGCAAACCACGAAGCGAACTGCAACTGCCGCCATTTTCATTTCCATTTCATTCGCTTTGTTAACTGCTGGGATTACGGTTTCAGGCTGTTGGCCTGCGGTGCTGTGCGGTGCGACAAGGATTGAGTTTTGGGCTTGTCATTTGGTTAGCAGAAACGTCGCTTGCATACAAAGCACAACATAAATTCAATATAATAAACATGTGAAGCACACAACCCACGCCCAGCCCGGCCCTATCAAAAATCCTTAACAATTGCAATTGGCTAAACAATAACATGGCAAGCCTTCCAGCCATGTCGCTGCTGACCCAGTTATGTACCGCCCACTAAACGAAGCGCTTTTATTTTATTTATTTACCTTTTTTTTTTATTTTTTAACTTGCTTTCAGTTTATTGTAATACACACACTCACACGCACATACAACGCTGTGCTGATGGATGTGGCATTGCCACATTTCTCGTTGACTCTCGCATTGCTTTAAACTGAAGTTTTGCCCCGAAGTTTAGCTGGTCTGAACTGTTGTGGCTCTGGCAAGTGAAATTGCTTGTAATGCATTACAAGGCAAAAACTTTTCTATTGCCTGCTTTGAGGAGCGCCTTTTGGCCCCAACCCTGTCCAACTGACTGTCTTGTGTCGCTTTACTTATTTTGAAACGGCTTTGTCGCCAACTTGCCTGCAGTTGGTTGCCGTCCTTCGACCTCCTCATTCTACAACCAACCCAATTTGGTTTGGGGTTTGAGTTTAGTTCTGTCAGATTATTGGCTGGTTTATGTCATAGTGCCTTCGACTGGGTGCTCTCGGCGTCTCTCGTCTGCCTTTTGGCGTTATCTCTCGATATGCAGCTTTTTTTGGGTAAGGGTGCGGCAGCGGTCAACTTTGTCTTGATTATTTTTGCAGTCAATGTCGGACAAAGTTTTGCTCAACTCTGGCGAATTTAATATGGTAATTATTTGTGACCCAAGCAAAGAGCCAACAATGTGCTGCAGTTGCATTAAGACTGCAATTTGTTGGTATTAAGTCAATTGGGTATTAAGGACATAAGCCCCCCACAGGCTAATAGGGCTTGACGTATGCGTTCGTATATATATATGTATATATTGAGTTCTACACGGTTTTTTCTTCATTATTCACAAGTTTTTTTTTTAACTTTTTCAACATGTTACGTTAGTGTTCATTTTGTCTTTTAAAATATTCTATGAAACGAAAAGTTGAAAGAAACTGAATTTTATAAACTGGCTTTTTTATACATTTTTTCAATACAGATTCGTTTCGAATAACTATGTCAAACTAAATTATCATTTCAAAGCAGAATAAAAATATAAAATTATTTAAAAAGCATACATATTGAGTATTTACAGATGTTAATGTTAATTAAATATCATCAAATATTCTTGAGCATAATATTTACAAATTGACAAGCAAAATATATATCGAAATTTCTCTTACATAATCTTTTAGTAGCTTATCAAGCAGCCTTTTCTTAACCTCATTTGGCCCCCATTTCGATCTCTGAGAGAAATCGATAATTTTCTGTAAATTTTGTAGAAATGTTATGTGAACTTCTGCACCTCATGTCAGTTGTTAATAAGTAAATTGAAGCAAGCTTGCAGAGTTTCAGTCATGTTTATGCAAATTGACAGCTAGAGCCTAATGGCAAAATGCTCTCAACCAGGCTGCCCCACCAAACCTCGCACAGTCTGTTGCACAGGAAATTTACAGACAGCCGTCTAATTTTCGTGCTGCCTCCCGCAACGAGGAACCACCCAACCATGTGTGCCACTCCATCAGGCAACCCAATTTTCAAATTTCACACACTCAGCCACGCAACACTTGAGCGGCTTATTAACTAAGCTCAACGTTAACCGAAAAATGCTTTTAAATGCTTCGAGGCAGGCATACGTGATGTAATGTAGGGCGCCAAAAAATATTACGCATACGCTATGGCAGCCAGCACTCATTACTCATTACGCATACGCCGCATAATCCTCTGATTGCTTTGCTCATTTTTTATGCACTCTGGCAAAGTTTTTGATATCTAATTTTGTTATCACAAATTTCTATGCGGTAAACAGAAAAAACGAAAAATATGAAAATATGTATGGCTGGCCCTCGGTTTAGGGCTCTGCAAAACACATTATCGAAATGAGTTTTTGGCTAAAACAGCAGCATCACCAGCCGCAGCCGCAGCCACAGCCACAGCCACAGCAGCCAAAACAAGAAGCATAAACAAGTCTTGAACACTGTCGGACGGGGAGAGGGCACAGCATGCTCGTGCCCCTCATCATCTGCCATAAATACTAGAAATATGTTGGCTGACAAGCACACAAACAGGACAGTGCGAAGTGTGGACAAATCTGTGCGACATACACATAAAAGGATAACACGCATGCTAGACAAGTATTTTTCAGCTTTAATTCGAATGCGGCTGGCGTAAAAAACTACAATTCAGTTAAATAAAATTCTTTTATACATTGTGTACACTACAAAAACAGTATAAACTAGGATTTAAACTGACAGAGCAGGGTTTATTATACAGCCAATGTAGTAAGATCCTTATTGGTGCTTTTCAAAAGTTGCCTTTTATACAATAAGGAAAAACCCGTAATGCGATTTATGGGCTATATAAATCCCTTTTTTATTTTTATTTAAACATATTAAAAACCTATGGCAAAATGAATTTACTGAAATGTTTTAATAAACACACTCTTCTTAAGCAAAGGAAAGCCTATAATTCCTATCAAAAGTTAACCTATAAAGGTGTAAAGATTTTGCCATGCCCACTGACGCCCTCACAAATCACCTAAAACAAATAATTTTTTTTCTACAGTTATACTAATATTATTATTAATTTAAGATTATTTATTATTAATTTTATAATTATTATTACTATTATTACTAACATTCTCTCATAGTTTACCCAAAAATGATGAGCAGAGTATCGCGCAGTCAGGACATTCAACCGTCACACACTTGACTGTTTTCCATACTTTTTTTTGCTGCTGTGTTGCCAACATATGGCTTTAACTCCATTGTTGTTTTTATTTTCATTTAAGCTGATTTACTTTTCACGGCAAGTGAAATCTTTTTGTGTTCGTTCGCTTCTGTTTTTGTCTGGCTGCGTTCAATGTTGAAAATAACTTGTTAAATGTTATTCATTTTCGATTTTTCGCTGTTTATTTATTAAAATGACAAACTATATATTATATAATAAAGGACAAATTCAAATATATAAATCTTTATCACAAATGATAAAGATGTCAGGAATTTCCAATAAAGTCAATAAATCTTAAAAAACTATAAAAGAAGTAAGAGGCTAGTTGGCTTTAGAAGTACTAAAAATTAAGTTAAAAATAAAAAAAAACAAAAAATAGTGTTTCCTCGATCTCGTAAGAGACCACGCTATTTGCAACTGCCGCTACTCAAAAGCCACACAAACAATTGAGTTTTAATGGAAAAGAGGAATTATTTAGCACAAAAAGCAATACAATCGCAATTGGAATGCTGTTTGAAATTTTCTACAATGCATCTAATTGTACAAGATTAAAATCGTGGCTTTATTTCAAAAAGCAACATATCGAGTTTGGTAACTCAGATTTTCTCAAAAAATTCGATTTCGATATCGATTCTTATCGATTGCTTGGATACGGAGTAAGTTATCGAAACAAACTTGTACTTCGCATGGACTAAAGGCACCTACATTCTAAATTTGAAGTCTAGCTTTTATAGGTTCTGAAATTCTTGCGTTCATACATACGGACAGACGGCTAGCTCGACTCGGCTATTGATGCCGAACATGCATCATGCTTAAGCTGCACAACACAGTAAAAACTTTGATAATCTTTGACTCTTGAAAAATATAACTAAGTATATTGAGCTGATAATACTACTCGCAATGCGTTGATTATATTTATTGACGCGATGATTATTATGGCTTGAGTGCATATTATGTACTGGGAATAACCAAAAAGGTTTTCTTGGTTTGATTTGCAAACAGGTCTCAGTCAGTTTATAATTTTTAACGCTGCCAAACGGTTGCAAATCTCAAATTAGTTTACTGAAAATGGGAATATATTTTAAACTATGGGCAATTTTATTAATGCCCTTACTAGTTCAATCAAATGGAGTATCGACAAATGACTTGGTTGGCCTCTCAAATTTAATGTCAATTATTAAGAGTCTAATTTAAAATTTAACGCAGTGTACAAGGGATTCGACAGGGAACGCTTCGGAGTGCGGAACCTACTGCTATAAAGTGGTTAAACAGCTTCTTAGCTACGCAGCCTCTATACGATCAAAGGAAGAACAATTCGCAGAGTTAGAGAGTAAAATCGATGAGCAAAACGCGATTGTATTTCATTTGAAGGAAACAATCAGGCATAAGGACCTACAACTGAACCAACAAATCGAATTGACGGCCGCGTATAAGAGCAATATTGCACTGTTAGAGAAACAACTCGTCTCAAATGACGGTATCATAACTAGTCTGCAATCCAAAGTTAAATCGGCAGATTCCCAAATCGCTGAAAAAGATAAAGAATTAAAGAAATCGCAATCGAAGCACGAAGTAAATGAATTAAATGTAGCCAGGATCAAACATCTTGAAGCGAAACTCTCAGAGTGCAAAGCGATGTCTGTAGTCTCCATCTGCCTAGGAAAACCAAGTGAGATTTATCCGATAAAGGTACCTGATATGGATCCATTCTCCGTGTCCTGTGACTCGAAGTACGCCGGAAGCGGGTGGATCGTTATTCAACGCCGTATTAATGGCAGTGTGAACTTTAACCGAGGCTGGGATGATTACAAGGCAGGTTTTGGGGATTTACGTGGCGAGTTCTTTATCGGACTAGAGAAACTTCATAAACTGACCCAATCGCAACCTCACGAATTATATATATCTCTGGAGGACTTTCAAAATCAAACCCGTTTTGCTCGATACAGTGACTTTGTTATTGGCAACGAGGCAGAGTTATATAAGATTAAAATGCTTGGAGATTTTACCGGAAATGTTGCTGATTCCTTCAATTATCATAAGGACAAAAATTTTTCAACACCAGATAAGGATAATGATGTCACTACGGGTAACTGTGCTCTAAGCTACGAGTCTGGATGGTGGTTTTATGACTGTTATAACTGGTAAACAATTCCGCAATTGTTTAATTTGAACTCCTTATCCTTATCTATCATCGTATTTTTTTTTTTTGTTTGTTTTTTAATTTGTAGTAATTTAAATGGACGATACACATCAAAAGATGTAGGAATAACTGGGAAAAGAATAGGTTGGAATGGATGGCAACTGAAACCTCTTAAATTTACCCAAATGATGATTAGGCCAAAGTCTTCTTAATTCGTATATTTTTTGATTTTGTACAACAATTTTTTATTTTAATAAAGTAAATAAATTAAGGCTTAATGCGAATAAAAGTAAGAATATTAAATACTCTTGTAGAATTGATTTTGGTACGATGTTTCGATATTACGATATGATTGATATTTCTCGCTTGTAGTGCTTTGGAGAAAATTTATATTTTAGTAAACCAAATATATATTTAAACAACCCAAATAATAAAGTTGAATTCTTTCATAATTTGTATATCTCAAAAATGAGTAACTGATAAAATTAATGAAACTATTTGAGCATATTTCTACAATATGAGACAAAATTGAAAGCAAGATTTGAAACTTTAATAAGAAATTATGAAATATTCTCGTTAAATAAGTCTAATAAGCAATAAACATTATATCACATTAGTAAATTTTAGTAGACTAAAACATCGTGAATTTCTCTATTTCTTAAATTTTATATATTTGGCTGTTCACAATCGATTAACCAGGTTAATGTGGCGCTTCAAAGGTTTGGCCAAGTAAACTGAACTGAACTCTAAGCCTCAGACTTGGGAGTTGTTGTCTGTTTGTACATATAGCCTGGCAGCTGTGCTGCAGCTAAGGCATGTGCCATCGGATTTTATATTTAAGCAGCGTACAAATTAGGCAGCTTAAAGCAGCAACATCGCCCCTTAAGCACACAACATGTAAGGGCTACTTGATGTTGCATTAGTTTGGGGCTAACTCTGCCGACCCCCTCCCACTTTTTCACCCATGCTTAAACTAGGCTGTTGAACTAACAAGAACGAGTTGGGGAGACGCCCACTATAGCAGGACCACCAGCAGCTGCTAATGTGCCTTTGTCTTTGGTCATGCTTTTAAGTGTGTGTGTGTGTGTGTGTACTTACATATATGTGTATGTATATGTGTTTATGTGCGCGCCTATGTGTATGCAATACTTTGCTGTTGTAATTGCTGCTATTACAGCTGCCTGTTTGTTTGTTTGCTTGGATTGTTGCTGTTGCCTTTAAGCTAAAGACTTAATGCGCTTTGAGAGATGAAGAGAGAATGAGAAAAACAGACAGAGCGAAAGAGAGGGAGAGAGAAATTATGGACAAAAAGCGAAAATAAAAGTTAAATCAGTACAAGTACTACAAGCTCTTGATGAGGTTGAAAGCATTTCTGCGAAAGTGGAAAATATTTCCATAAAAAATAAAATAACAGACTCCCAGCTACATATATGTGCATACACATACATACATACCTGTATGTATATCAGACTGTGTAACATAAAAGTCTTTTGTCAGTTGCTTACATCTTTGGGCCTTGGTGACTTTGCAATTTGCTTGCTTTTCGCTTTTCAAGGAGGTTTTTCAAATTATGCACTCCACACACACACACACATGCACACGCACACACACACGCGCTCATCCTTGCTGTTACCTTTTCCGTTTAGGTGTTGTGCTGTTGTGTTTCTATTGTGACTGTGAACTTTCATATGCAGCAAACTCTGAAGTGCAAACAATGTCAACATGGTATTTTCCTGCACACAATTTGCTAGTTTAGTGCAAGGCCATATTAAAAATTGAAAATCCTCCCAACAACATGTTTTGTAGTGAGAAGAGTTTTCACATCATTTTCAAGTGTTGTACAATGCAATAAATGTGTTGGTAGATTCTGCGTTCTGACGCTCGTTTATAGAGGCGAGACCCATCTGAAAAAACTAGAAATTCTATGATAATACTGAGATCAAAAGAGGAAAGATGCACAAATATAATAACAACCTTTATGAAAACGAAACTTCCGTTTTCATTTTCAGTTTACTTCCACATCTATTCGTTTTTTAGTTTTAATGTTGTCTACGCAAATAAAGTCGAAGTTATTATTGGAGTTTTCAACTCTAATGATTATAAAATACTCGTTGGCGTAAAATTTGCATGCGTTTTTTGAACATGTTGACTGTTTTTTCACATAATACATAAATATTTAATAATTAATATTCTGTGTAGTTACAAGAATATTAATTTTGTTTTGGTAAGAGCTCGTAATAAATCACCGAGTGTACACCCTTTATTTATTCAAAAGTTTTGCCTTCAATTTAATGCGCCCCTCGCGCTACACGCCCATCACAAATGTACTCCAATTACTGGGCACGTGCGTGAGGTCGGCAGCCCCATCAATTTACATGTAAATCGGCTCATGCTGGAAAAAAATAAAAAAATATATAAGAAATAAAATAAATATAAGAATGCAAAAGAAAACGCAGCAATCAATTGATTCATTTTCATTCCACGAAATTGTGAACTTGAAGGCAAATTTTCATCTGATTGGATGTTTTCCGTAGCGTTTACTGATAATAAAATATAAAACCGACATCAAAAATTTAAATCGTTCGGCAGCAAAAAAACGAAATCGAAAATAAAACGCAATTGAAATATTAAAGGCAAACCACGCCAGACAGAAGGAGTTTAAAGCTCAAGAATTCGGACTGAAAAATCGCATAAGTACGAAAAGTTTTAAGTTTGTGTTCATTTTCTAATTATTTGCAAATATCAAGTAATTTATTTTTAATTTACTGTTATATTTTGAGCATTTTTAGGGTCCCTTTTAGCTGCCATTTTTTTATTTATAAAGAAACTTGGCGTTGATAAAGTGATTGCAGCGGTACGTGATTTATTGCACTTTTCTTGGATTTTATTTGACATCCCTTCGTGTGGTTTTCATCGCTACTAGGGCGCTTACTTCGCTGCGGCTGCGGTCAATCCGCCCCTTTACCGCATTCTAACCAACGTTTCGTTAGCGTTAAAAGTTTCCGAGTCGTGGGGCGGCTGAATCTGTCCATTGTTTATGCTTGGATTCTGTCCGCTGACCTGACGTAAGTCTTATAAGGTACTGAAAATGTGCAATAAAACGAACAAAAATCTTTTGTGCAAAACTTTGAGCTTTACTTTGGTGAAATTGTTTGTTTAGACTTAAGCGAAATTCGCATGAATATCTTCAAAAGATGTGTACATTTAAATTGTGTTTCAGATTAAACTCAGCTATTTTGTGGCAATTGCTTTTGCTCTCTTATTTTATTATAATTTTCTACTGTTATATCTGTTAATCATGCCCAAATTGCTTATAAATTTGTTAATAGTAGCCAATAATTTATAATTAATACGATATACTTAACAAATATATATTTGTAGCTTTTTTCGCAGTACCAAGAGTATTTTAAGCTGAAAGCGTATTTAACGTACAACGACAGAAAAGCTTCTACTTTCTTTTACTCACAGAACACACAAAATTGTAATCATATTAGAAATACATCAAAAATTGAAAAACCACAAAAACAGTTTTAAATTGCCAAAAAGCAGGCAATATAAACGAATAGCAAAGCCAGTGCCCACATCATCCATCAACTTCAGACTGTGCCCAAGCAAAAACGAATCTCAATGCAAGCCCGACGCCAGGATTTTCTGGGGGGAAAGTCTTATCTAAAACGTGGCGTACTGGAAAAGTGCAGCAACAAAACAGGCAGCGCTCAAAGTGAAATCAGCTTAACGAAATTGCACACACACACAAATACACACAAATGCACACAAACCGACTTAAGCCTATCAATCAAAATGAGCATATAACCACCCAAAATGCTGACCAACAGCTTAAAATATTCAACTTGAGCGCATTTAAGCCCATTTTGTGCGAGCTACTGCAACCAAATTGAATCATCATTGACTATGTAAGGGGAAGCATGAAGGGGGATGACCAGAAGTTGTTGGTGCTGAGTATATGACACATGCAGTTAAAAATGAATAAACGCGGACATCGAACGAATTTTCCACTCTCGATGTGGTTACATTAAACGCTCGTTTGGCCTGACACAAAACGACGTGGATCGATTGGACAAGACATATCAAGAATTTTGGGTTAATGGAATTTAAGTGAGAGCAAAAAATAGAAAAAAATCGACCAGAAAGAAAAGTTAAGTTTGATATGCCGAATTCTAAACACGCTTGGGAAATATACGTTGTAATATTCATATTTTGGATTTCATATAAAACATTCTGGACTGTTTATTCCTGAATGTATTTGAAATTAAATTCGTATCTTATTATCAAATGAGAATGTGGTCCGATTTTGGTTTTGAGCAGTTAAGCTGAAAACTTTGGTCAAAATACTTAAATTGATAAATTGCTGTTTTTCGCAATAACTCAATTTGAGTTATAAGTATAGATTTTTACTAAAGTAGCAATATAGTCTAGCCAAGTGTTAATATATATAATATATAACTACCAATATAGGGTCTGGGTTATGCTAAAATATATTGAAAATCCAGCACGTGGCCCCTGTTCGACAAGATTATATAGTGTGTTGTTTGATGTGCTTGGCGATGCGCTCCCGAGCGCATTTCCCACGCAAGCCCATTAGAACGCACAGAGAATGGTTTTTTTGTAGTCGGCAGCGGCAGCTGATTGAACATTTTTCAATCAACTGTTCAGCAGCCGGCGCCCAAAGCAACTAATTTGTGTCCGGAAAGAGAAGAAGAGAGAAGCGTCCACTTGTTTTGCCAATACAAGGCGAGATCTCTGCCAAAACGAGTTTCTTCATAATACTTTTTCTGTGTTATCGATGAGCACTAACCAGAGACAAATGAAAGCGAGAGAAAGAGAAAGAGAGGGTAAGAATTGAGAGAAATGATAAAAAAAAAAAAGAAAAGTTGTTTTCCATAAAAGTCGGGCAATTGTCGGGCCTTGGCTATTTGCAGTTGTTTTTCATTTGCTTGGCTCCGATGTTGGTCAAACGCTTTGCCATATTCAATTTTTTCTTTCTTCATTTCCCCCTCGCAGCAGTTAATAGCGAAAGTCGTTTTCAGCTCGTTTCTTATGTGGGCCAAATGTGCAGCTGCTTGCCGCAAGCTAGCCGAAAAAATAAAAAATGGGCCAGCACACCGAAGGAAGCAGGCAACAGGCTGCAAGAGCAAGTTTTAGCTAGCAGCTGAGATAAGATACATATACTTTTTGGGCAAGCTCCAAAGTTCTTTTGATAAATGGTTTCACTTGTGGCACTGACTCGCATGTTTCGAGTTTCCTAGTTCAGGTTGAGTTTCAACTATCATAACTTATATTATATGCGATGCCGACACAGCTTATTGACGATTGTAAAAACATTTAAAATTTCTTAAATTTAGTAAATAACATGTTGTTACAGTAATGTACCTTATATGCAACCTCTCACTAAAGGCCGTAATTAATGCATTTTTTACTATTGATTTTAAGAAAGTAAACTAAACGGTTGGGCAATCCTTGTTAGATGAGTTGTCAAAGTGATTCCAGGCTCAATCTCCAGTCTAGCGTAAGGTTCTTAAAGGGTGGAAAATTAAATTATCGGAATTCTCGGAACTTCTTATACGTTTTTGGAATAAGCATCTTGTCTCGGATATATATATAATAATTCATTGCCGAAATCGTCTCTTCTGTTCTTCCCTGATTCCCATAATTTCCACAGACTTTTGAATAGTGTATTTTTATATTTTTAAAAATTATGTTTTACTTTATGGCAATATTGCTTCTTTTTTTTGAGAATTAAATACAGGTCGAAATTTTCTTCTGAAATACACAGCATTTTTATCAGATGTTGTTGATGAACTTACTGATTGCTGACATTGGTAATGAATAAAGGTGTTAATTGGTTTTTAATAATCAATAATTTGAATAATTAGGTTCTGTTCAACTGTTAACTTGACTCCGGCAGACGAATATTAAATTTTTGCTTAATCGGGGAATATAATTATACCCGATTCAACTTCTTTTACCGGTTGCAGTAGGGTATTGCAAACAAAAAATTATAGTTCTATAGTTTGCTCAAGCAATGTGTTTAATTACCTCTCTTAAGACCGTTGGCTGTTTGCTTTAACGTTTTTTTCTCTAAGGAAATTATCCTCCATTTTGCTGGCATTCATTTTGGTGGCGCCCGCATTTTAAGTAATTAAAATTCCCTACTCATAGCAAATGCATATTCACCATTCTTTCTTTTCTCAGCGTATATAAAACCCAGACAGACCAAACACTTGTATCCGCATCTATGTATATGTGTTCTGTATCTATAGTTGTCTTTTGTATCTGTGTTGACCGCAGCTATTCTGACGTTATATTCATTTTCCTATCGATTTTTGCGGTTATTTGAACGCAATTAACCTTCTACTTTGGTTTGAATATTCCCAAACTTTTTGGCCTGATGAGCTGATTGTTGTAGTTGTTGTTGTAATTGTCGTTTTTGTTGTTGTTGTTGTTGTTGTTGTTGTTGCTGTTGTTGTGTATGCTGTGATAGCCTTCGTTGAGTTTTACTATTGAATTTTATCTGCTCCTCTGGTATTTTACTCAGTTTCCCCAGCTGTCGGCTTGTGTCAATTTTTCATTTGTATTTACTTTGCTAATCCTTGCCGATAATTTGATGTGGTTCTTGGATCTGCGGCCCAGTTAAGGCACCACTATTAGACTGTCAGCAAATATTTGCGGCATTCGGATTAGGTTCTATACTTAGTTCGTTTCGGCTGCCATTTTCAGTGAATTTGTGGCTTTTGTGGTTGATCCCAACAGATACAAATGTTAAATAAACAACAATGCAAGAATTAAATAGAAATAGTTTTAATATTTTTTGTTGGCAGTTTATTTCCCTAGGCAATCATCAAAGGCTTTAAAGTGAAAAGAAAACATCTTACAAATGTAGTTGTCCATAATTATGCAAAAATGATAATGAAATTTATAGACAAAAGGGAAATATTTGCAATGCCATATGAAAATAAAAAAGTTTTTAACAAGCTTAAATTCGTAGTGAAGCATCAATATTCCAAAATCAAAATTTATTTGTAAAATAATTTATTTCATTTAAATATTTCTTCATTAAATAATTCCTTAAAATTACACACGTTTGCTATGTTCTCAACCTCCCCACATTTTCTGTTGTGTTCGAAGCTCTGTTTCGATTGACATCGTAGCTGTCTATAAGAATGGCATAACAATCATCAGCATTCAACAATAAATCTTGGCGTAAACCCAATTCCAATTGCACTGAATCCCAGCTCAAATCGGCTAGCCGCAATTTCAAATTAATTGAAGGCCGGAAATTGAAACACAACGTCAACGCTGGATGCTGCTTGCTGCAACAGACCCCTCCGCATTCCCCTCCGGCCCTGGCCGCATTTTAAAAACACACGACAAACGCAACGGGCACACTGGAAATTGCAACAACATTGAACGGAACACCCACAGCAGAAGCAGCAGCAGCAGCAGCAGCAAAAATCGTTCGAAATGCCTCACGTTTGCTGCATTTCATTGCTATTTGAGCTTCTGTTTTGTGCGCTTCGTTTGCTGATTCGCTTAATACTTTTAACGTTTCATAGCATTTAATGGCTGTAAAAGTGGGCCAACGGCCCTCAAGCCACCCCTCTTGCCGGTGCTGGCCCCGGCTCTGGCTCTGGCTCTGGCTGTGGCTGTGCTTCTAGCCTTGGCTCTTGTTTTGCTGCTTGGGTGTGTGAGTGTGGCGCCTGTGTGTATGCAATGCATTTTCTTGTAATGCATTTTACTTTTGCAGTTACTCTCAATGTCGCCCAGCAGCTCTCGTACACTTATGTGGGCGTGGCCTGTCGAACTTGAAGTGCAAGTGTAAAAGTGCCAAAGTGGAGCTTGTCCCTGACACAAACATATTTATTTTGGCAGATGGACTGGAAACCAAACCAGAAATGGCAGAGCCCAAGCCAACGACGCGCACACACACACACACACACACACACAAGGAAAGACATATATCTGCTTTGCCAGCAGCTTGTGCAACATTTTTAATGCATTTACAAACACACATGTACACACACACCTATCAACACACATACACAGTCAACACATACACTCATAAATGCATTACTTGTGCGCAGTTTGGTTCTGCCTGTTGGTTGTTACTCGTTCGCTGGCTTAAGTGTGGGCGTGCCAGATTGCCTAATGGAGTGTTATGTGCCAGCTACCTATATACTTATATATATACACATATATATAAATGAGAGTCTGCTAGGTTGAAAGCATATAAAATACTGATTGGTAGACTAACACCTTAGATGCTTGTGAAGCAATCAGGAATTGTGTACCCATAAAAAACACAATATGGCATGTGAAGAGGCTATGTTAACAAATGTGACTACGGCTTAAAGTAGTAAAACCTCTAGAGAGGCTTTTAAAAATGATTTCCTTATTCTAAACCAAATTAAAGTAAATAAATTTGACCTTAATATATATATGTATATATATTTATTTTTATGAGAGCATTTTGAAATTAAATAAATATTGTTTTTATGGAATATCTAATAAAAAAAGAATATACAATTATCTAATTTTACAAGGTTTATAAACAAAAATAAAGAATTACATTTCAATACCTTTAACTAATTATATATTCTTATTTTCGCTCTGTGCTATTTACAGGTCGTGAACGACTCAATGAATACATATCCCACTATGAAACACTCAACTATGATCATGAGCACATTAGAGCTAGTCACAATAGAGCGCGTCGATCGGTGACCAAAGATCATTTTGTACATTTAAAGTTTGCAGCACATGGAAGAGACTTCCATCTTAGATTAAAACGTGATTTAAATACATTTAGTGATAAGTTAGACGTGAGTATTATCAACATATATGAATTATTTTAAAATAATAATCGAATTTAATTTGTTATCCCAGTTTTATGATAGCAACGGCCCCATTGATGTCTCAACGGATCATATCTATGAGGGCGAAGTGATAGGGGATCGTAATAGTTATGTATTTGGTTCCATACACAATGGGGTATTCGAGGGTAAAATTATAACGGAACGTGATGCCTATTATGTTGAACATGCCAAACATTATTTTCCCACAAATCGCACGACGGCGACGGCGACGACGACGACGACCACCGCAACTGCATTGTCCTTGACGACAACGGCGTCCACCAGCACACTAGACAACAAAAAAACTGCCATTGTTAATAAGACAGAAAAGTTCATAAATAAAAATGCTGAAACCACATCTACAAGTGCATTCCCAATGTACCCACGCAGCAGTTCCGAGCAGCCAGAATCAACGACAATGTTTTCACCGACTACCGCAACAAATGAGTCTGTGGATGGGGATAAAAATGCTGCCGGTGCACAGGACGAACTTGATTTCCACTCCATTATCTATAAGGAGTCACACGTTGAGGATGCCTACGAGAATGTGCGCGAAGGTAAGTCACAAGCGAAAGTCCAAACAATTTTCTTAAAGTGAAAAATTTGCACGTTTATTATAAGGTACAGAAACGACAGCACAAGAAAAATATGAAAAGCGTTGTCATATGATTTATATGCCGTGTCAAGTAAAGACTTCATTGGTATTTTTTCTTTTTTTTTTTATGCCCGAGTCAACCTTGAAAGTGTTTGATAACATTTCACTTCAGTTTTGACAGTTGAGTTGAGTCTGTACCAAGTGCTTGCACATAATTTTCGGGTCTACATCGTCCCAGAAAGTGGCCTCAACTTGTCAAATTGTCAAATGGGGAAGCTGTATAAATATGCTTCACATTTGGTTAACCAACTGTAGTTTGGCAACAGTGTTCAAAAGCATCAAAATATCTTAAGGCTTACTAATAACGTAAGTGGGGTTTAGTCCAATGAGCTTTTTATGATTAAAAAAAAGAAAAAAACAACAACTTCCAACGTGTTCCATGCACATTGAAGTTTGGCAATTTTTCTTAAATTTCGGCGGCATATTAAAAAGTTGCCAAAATAAACGATGATTAGTTTTGAGTTTTAAATGTTGAGATTGTATTGTATAGATATAGTGAGAGCCAAATGTATGTGTGCCCATGTTTAAATCTGTAAGAAGTTACTGACTTAACGAATATATTCTAAAATACCTGGCAATTCGAATACTGAACAACCGCTCAATATTAACAACTGAAACGTGGCAACAGCACACAAGTTCTTAAATGACATTCATACATTTTTTTTTTAGTTTTTATAATTAGTTTTCCTTATTTTTGTTTTCTGGGTGTTAAAATTCTTTGAATTTCAGCTAATTTTCTGTTTATTTGCTTAGCAACTTTTGTCAGCGTGAGTTTTATATTTAGTAACTTATTTTCACTATATATATTACATTTATTGGCTAAATAGCGTATGAAAACCATATTTATATTTTATATTTAAAATTTGGCAACGTTGTTGTTAATATATCCCCTGGAAACGTCAGCTGCAGCGGCATGTAACAAAGCAGTCATGTATGCAAATAAAAAAAAAAACCTTTGCCACTTGAATGGTCAATTCTTTTATGCAACTTTGCAACAAATTGAGGCACAGTTGATACACACAAATACACAAGCAGTGGCAACATTGCGACAACAATGACACTGGCAATGAAAGTTGCTGCAACATGTGACCATTGTGCATGCAACATCGTTGTTGGCATTGTACAAACAACAACAGCTTCCACTTACAGTGTAAACGTTCACGACAAAGGCGTGGCCCGCCTTCAACAAAAAAAGAACGTTGTTGCTGCCACGACAGAGCTGCAACGTGGCAAATAGAAAATAAAAAACAAATCTAATGCATAGCTAAACAACTACAATAAGAGGCAGTGGGGTAGATGTGCGAGGGACTGCCCCTAATGCTCGCGAGAATTTGTTGCAAAAATTGCATGCAATTTGACAGACAGCAACAACAACAATAGACACAACTATTGTCGCGGGCGCATTTAGTAGACTTATGTATGTGAATGTGCGTGTGTGTTTGTGTGTGTGTGTGTGTGTGTTTGTAATTTTGTGGGCGTGCCGTGTGCGTGTGTGTGCATTTGGGTGTAATCATTTTAATGAGCTTACACAAAAGCCACTTACATTTTAGCCGCTCTCAAATTGTTGTTAGTTGGGCGACATCTGTTGCCGTTTGTTGCATTTGATTGATGCACTTTACACTGATTCTAACTGATTGTTTAACTTAGTTTTCTGTGTACGAGTGTGCGTGTGTGAGCGTAGGAGAAATTGTGTTACATTTAATTAGTCCCGTTTTGGTTGCGCGCGCCTATTTGGCATATTTTGTGTGTGTTTAGACAACAACTTGAAATAATATGTCAAAATGTATTAAATTCCCAGCATAAATCATCCTAATTAAAAGTCTTGTTGTGACTGTCGTGTGAATTGAAATATCGAATTAATAATAGAGCTCTGCGGGTTGAATTTATAAAGCGTTTCCACTTAATTGACTACAACTGAAGTGTGGCAACAGTGTCAAATAAAGTGGGGCAACGCTAACACAATTATTTTGGAAATATTTGATAATTTTATATTCTCTCAGTTGTCATAGAGGACTAGTACTCTTCTCAAGTGTTTCATAAAAATATATTAATTTCCGGCAATGTTTTCAGCTAATTAACAATTAATGAAGTACGGCAACAGCGCCAATTTTGATCTACTTTACAACATATAAATAAAATGGATGAATGAAGAGTATCAGAACAAATTAGTATGACATGTATATATTAGAATTCAATGAATTTAATTCAATTAAAATTGTTTTGTTGTAATTAAGTGCGCTGTTGCCAATTCACATTGTGATTAAGGGCACAACAGTAAACTAGTTGAAATATTTGCAATTATGTAACACCGCTGTTGAACTTCCAATTAATGTTGAATTTTTCCACAAGTCAAATAAAAATATATCAATAAATAATTTCGCTTAATAAACTTGCATTGTCTACACTCTGAAAGTTTTTACTACTTTTAAGGGGTTTCACTTTAAAGGTTTCTAATTTATTATGAAAAACTTGTGACCAAGGGTGAAACAAGGCAAAAAGTGGACGAAAGTATACCAAAGTGCGTTAAAAGTTCATGGATCTTAGCCCAAAGAGCAGCACATAAAGTTCGATTAGTGCAAAGTGCGCTGTTGCCATGCTTCACTTGTTGACACACAGCAACCGAAAGCGCAACTTTTTACCCCGCCAGTAACTTACCCAGTTTTTAGTGCCTTTTATGGCTTAATTGCTGCCCAGCCATTCCGCCAGCGTCTTAAACTGTCCAACTTTATTAGCTTCTCTCGGCAAGCACGCACGCAACAAAGTATGAGAAAAAAAAACAAGTGGGAGTTACGAGTGAGTGCTCGAGTCTGAATTACCCAGTAAACAGTAGGTAAACAAATTCATATACAAACACAAATGGAACAATCTCTGCTCTAAAGTAAAATATGAATAAAATTTCAACGGTTTCAGAAAAATAACATTTACGTGAAATGTGTAAACCTCAAGATATGCTCAGAATTCGTTTTTTGATATCGATATTTGTCGATTTTAAAGAGACCCAGAGCAACTTGATCTGTGAATGTGTTTATGCTATGCTAAATAAAGCTCAAGTTTGTTTATTTTCTGACATCGGTATCCACATCAAGTGTAGGAAACTGAATCGAATATAATTACGTCAGCATGTTACGTACATTGATAATTTGCTTATACCCTGTATAAGCATTTCGAATGGGTACAGGGTATGAAAAGAAAACTATGTCGAGGTGTTTACGCTTGCAAGCTTATCAAATATGTAGTGCAGTCCTTTGGCACCCTTTCGACCCGTCCGTCCGACCATCCATTCTCCCCCATTTAATACCATTTAGCAGCATATTAAGCTTTGTGCTAGAAATGAGCAGTTGTTCCAAAGAAGCGAGAGAGAGTGAAATGGGGCTGGCGCCACTTGCCGCCCACTTTGATTACATTGTTGGGTTGTGTGCGGCGCGTCGTGTTGAATGCGTGTGTTGAAATCAACCAAGCGAGTACACGCATGTTGCCACAGAGCCCCTCCCAATTCAAGTGTGCAGGACTTGGGCTTGACACACTGCCAGTCAGTTGGCAAGTAGCGAAGCGTACACAAGACGCTTCCCCCCGCCCACACACCACGGGTTAATTTACACACACACACGCGCGCTCGCACACTCACTTCACACACTGACTCCATTATGGGACTGCAGTCTGCACTTGCCACTTGAATGCTGCATGGAAATCACAATTTATACACATTGTTGTAATATAATTTTTGCACAGCCGAACAGAATGCAACTCAAGTGGCAGTTCTTTCCTCTGCTTATGCCTCTCTCTCTCTCTCTCGCTTATTATTTTGCCACATTGTTGGTCGCGTTGCAGGCGCCCCAAGACTGGCCCCTGTGTGCTCGCTCCCTAGTTTTATTACTCGAGTGCATTGGCCGTGGCAGCTTTATGCAGTTGCCTGCAACTGCCATTAATGCAATGCGGCTCATTTTATTTATGACACTTTGTTTTATTGCACTTCTTTTCCACGTTATGGTTATTTATACATAGATGGGCGCTTGGCACGCCCCAAAAACTATTGGCGTATAAATGTCAACAACCGATTAGCAACACCAGTTTTGCAACGCCAGTTGGTTAACTGAAATTAAAATTTAATTCGAATTTTATATTATATATTTTGTAGCGTTAAAATTGACTATGTTAGCAAGAGCTAAAGTTAATCCTAATGCTAAGTACATTTTGACATAATAATTTCATCTGCTAAAATCCGCTGAAAATATTAAATATAACATTTTCTAGATAAGCTGAGCCTCTGCCCTGCTTTTCAAAGTTTTTAACAATGCAAAAACCTATAATATTATTAAATAAAAAATATAAAAAATTAGAATACAATAATAACATGATATATTACAATATGAGAAGCAAGGTTGCCGTATGAAAAGTTTTAGGATATATCTTGACTTAACTTGGAAATGACTTTCTTTACATCACTCAAACATATAGCTCCAGTTTACAAATTGCCTAAATCAAACATTTGAGTGGATATTTCGATCGCGAAATTGAAAAACATCATTCTAATGCAAGTTAGAATAATCCACAACATATTTTCGTCAAAATTGTATTTACATCATATAATACTAAAAAGTACCATATTTAAAGTTCTTACTTTAAATTACTTCTTACTTTTAGTCAAACTGTTCTAGTTTCTAGTTTTGCAATTTGTTTAAATTGTTTTTAATTATTTGTGGCATACAAATTGCAATTTGAGCGTGCCAACACCTCGTTTGAGGCTTAAATACTATTCGAGTAAATTTGATATCTGCAGCACTGTATATAAAAATGCGCTTAACAGAGTTCTACACTTGCTGCCATTTGCAGCACGTTAATCTAAAAGTGTTTTTTTCTAAATCGCTTGACAAGTTCCAGCTCTCAACTTTTAGTCCGCATTGT